TTTCATTAACCCCTTAAAGACCATAGTGTTAAACCCCCTTCTTCGCCAGGCATTTTTTCAGTATTCAGCGCTGCGGTACTTTGACTGATATTTATTCCGTCATGCAACGCTGTACTGAAATTAATTTTATACAATTTTTTGGGGGACACAGATCTTTCTTATGATGGTATTTAGTCACCACTGGGGTTTTTTTATTTTGTACTATATAACAAAAAAAGTACCCTAAATTTTGACAAAAAAACTGTTTCCCTATAAAATGTTATGACACATTTATTATCACCCCAAAATATAAAAAGACGGGGTCACGTCGGGTAAATAGACACCACACATGTCATGCTTTAAAATTGCGCGCACCCATGAAATCACAGAAAACGACCGCATCCAAAATTGGCCATAGGCGACACTTTAAAAGCTTTTGCCGCTCATCAGTTTAGTGTTATCAGTGATTGATGGCCCGAGACTTATTGCTCTCACGCCAAAGTTTGCGACAATATGTAACGTGCGGTGTAATGGGTGCAATCCTCGTTTTTCGCACATAGGCTCGGCTTGAATTATCTTGCTTTGCATGTAATGAGTCTATCTCATATATTAGTTTCACCTTTTAAGTTGCATTAGTGAAATAAATGAACTTTGCACGATATTCTAATCGAGTTTCACCTGTATATCTACTGCTAGCAACCAGTAGATATATGCAAAACGTTTTTTTTTAAAAGCGCTTTAACAGCAGTTTACACACCCTGTCTTCGCTGCGCGCTCCCGTCCGAGAAAACGAAACTGCTCGGGGCGGCCGCAAAGCATTAAAATACCGGTATCGGCGAATCCCTAGATGTAATACATATCACTTCCTGCATTCGGGGACAGGAGAAGAGTTCAAAGGGAGTTCGAGTACTGATCTCCTTTAGATCTCCCGTTAGAGCGTTGCCGTGCCAGTCCTAGCTTTGCCCCCCCAGTTTTGACTGTGGTATCTTATGTGCCCCCCCTATATATTGTTCCTAGAGTCGTCACTGGCTGTTATATACTGACTTTGGGTCACAGGTGTACACTAGAAAATGTACTCCTATGACCCTTATATTCTCATTTCTGATTTGTCACAGTTTACTTTAAAGTTACTCACATAACTAAAAGAAGAAAATTCTTGCAAGACGGCCGGCAAGGACAAAGATGGCTGAGTCACATACAAAAGTATGTCATCTGCATACAGCGCCATTTTAAATTCTCTGGTACCCACTAGAATACCATGTATCCGCGAGTTTGTGCGAATGGCAGAGGCCAAGTGTTCCATTGTAAGCACATATAGCAAGGGAGATAGTGGACACCCTTGCCTAGTGCCATTAGAGATCTTAATTGGGTCAGACAATCTGCCATTAGCACACACTCGGGCAAATGGGGAGGAATATAGGGCCATTATTTTAGACCAAAATGATATACCCAGCCCCAGTTGTATTAAAACGTCCCGAAGGAAATGCCAGCCTACCCTATCGAACGCTTTCTCAGCATCCACTGACAACATGCAGGCTGGCATCCCCTTTTTCTGAGCATAATCAATTAAGGTTATAGTTTTGGACGTATTATCCCTAGCCTCCCTAGTATATACAAATCCCACTTGATCATCATGGATAAGACTCGGTAACAAAGGTTGCAAGCGTAGAGCCAATAATTTAGAATATAGTTTAATATCGCCATTTCCTATGACCCTTAAAGAGAAGTAAAGCAGGAAAAAAGGTTGGGCTTTACTTCCCTTTTAAATAGCATCAATGTCGTCTACAATATCATACGAAGGATGTCATACAGGGACCATAGTAATAATATATACCATATAAATCACCAGTAAAGAGATCCCTACACATAACAACCTGCAGTCCTCAATCTGTAAGCAGATCTTTGTTTGTTACTTGCTAATTAGTTTATAGTAAATATGCAGGATTGATTTGGAGGTCTTGGGATAGAGCCATTGTTGAATGGTTATTCGGTGTATGTAATGGATAGCTTGTTGCTGAAAAAAACAGAGACAAATCATATTCCCTGATATAAGCCTAAATGTTTGTGTTCTGTCCCATACAGTGCATCCAGAAAGACAATGCAGACTTGGGGGAAAAAACATGTCATTTTGCATATTTATTGCTGAATATTTCATTTAGTCTGGAGTCCCCATTTATTGTCATTGTCACGGGGTATACACAAGCATTGCATGCACATACTGTATGTCCAGAATTTAGCAGGCATATATACATACTTCATGTCAGATGTTGCAAGGAGTATTAGTTTCTCTTGGAAGATCAGTGGCTGAGTATAGGTGACTTAGTAAACTGTCAGTCATAATAATTCAAGGGTAATGATGGCTAATAATAGAGAAGGCTACATTGCCATTTCAGTCTGCAAACTTGAATGCCAGATCCCTGCTACCGTGTTTCCCCGAAAATAAGACACTGTCTTATATTTTTTGGGCTAAAAAAAACACACTAGGTCTTATTTTCGGGGTAGGTCTTATATTTTAGCAATTCCCAAAAATAGTACTAGGTCTTATTTTCAGGGTAGGTCTTATTTTCGGGGAAACAGCGTATATAGAGAATCCTGATCCGGATAATTGTGTGTTAGTTTAAGTTTAAATATCATATTTAGATTTTACAGAAGTGAAAAACCTATCATCATATATGAAACTCAGACTCCGGGCTCTTGCATGGCCATGTGACAATTTACAAGGTAAATGATGGCATTTTTCTGCCACCAGGGAGCCACAGGTACTATGTACAGCCTTCCATATAAATCAATGGCTTTACATGGGTACACGCCGGACTTGCGTAAAAACACCCACAACCTGAACGCAGACTGTCTGCACTACTTCCACACCAGGGAGCCTCTTGCTTATTCCATTTAGATCTCCGATGTAGGCAACGGCATCCACTTGCTATAAATCTATGGGCCGGGCACATTGCTAGGATCCAGACTACTAATGTTCATCCTACCCAGGGTCAGAAGTCGAGGAGTGTCATAGTAAACAGCACTCTTGTCTTTTTATTCTCCCTTTTACATCTGTTTTGCTTCTGCTTGCATTCTTCACCTTTTTAGTTTTTGCCAATGCCCCTTTCCTTTTATACATTGAGTGTTTTCTTGGCCATATGCAGAAATTATTTGCATGGCTGCAAAGCTTTACTTTAACAAACTGTGCAGAGAAGCTGCTGAGAGTTGCTATAAATGCATTTAGGTTTCTCCATGCATTCATGTGTTTGATCATGTGATCTAGCATGCCATATAACCAAGAGCAGCATTACAGGTGATAACTTGAGGAAATGCACTCTGCTCTGGCCATCAGTTGTGAAGGATGGTCTGACAGCACCTGTCCATACGGCACGCTCTGCAGTCATCGTAAGCTGCTTTGGAAGGCTAAAAGGATGGGGGCAATACACAACTCATGCCCTGAGGCAGCAGTCAAATAGCAGTTGGGGCTTCTATTCCTACATCACAAATCAGAATGACTCACGTGCATATCAGTAAATATGTGGTTAATTAATCATGTTATGAATGGACCATCTATAAGGAAACATTCCCTGTGTTACTACAATCTACGGCACACCACAGTTATCAATGGCACCCCAATGCACTAAAGCAATGCACCGTTTTGCAGCACACGCTATAAGGCACTACCATACTACTTATAGCACTGCCTTGGGAAAAAATGGTGTAGGTCCATTTTTTTGTGTGCTGGCCTTCCATTTAAATGAATAGGCTGCCTTAAAGCCCAACTCCAGGGAAATTAAAAGTTTTCTCTTGCACAAAGGTTAACTGCTTGTTTATGGCCATTGACAGAAAAAAATCTGGTTTACCTACCTGTTCCCTCCAGGCTGCTAGTCCGGTCCCAGCAACCTCTTCTCCCCTTCGCTCTGGTGGTCAAAAGACCTCTGACTTCGTCAAGAACAATGTAGGCTCCATAGTCCTTCATTGTACATGAGGGCACAAAGGGACAGTACACAGCCTGAGCAGAGGGGGGAGTGCTGACTTCCAGGAGAGCGGGAATCAGGTAAGTAAAACAGCTTTTTTCCTGTTCCCTAGGAATAAACGAGCAGTTAACTCTTAGGAGTGCAGTGACAGTTCTACTGCAAGGAAAAACTTTTAATTGCCCTGGAGTTGGGCTTTAATGAAATGTATTTTAACACCTAACATAACACACCACAAACAAAGTGAATGACCCCTTCCGTTTATATTTTTTTCTGGACTATCAGCAGTCTCCAGACTTTAGTGCTTAATCATTAATTCCACAGGAAGAAGCTTGTGCGGTTCCTGTATCTGCATGGAGGGCAGTCTGCTTTGGGTCTTACATTGCATAATTGACCTTATTTGCTGAGGGTCTCTGACTTTTATCCTTGCCCCAAACGTGTGTAGTAGGCACCCTTAGGCTTTATGGTTACCTGCATGTGCATATCTTTTTTTTTTTTAGGCCCTTAAGCCTAGTGAAAAGGCAAGCCGAGTACCAGATTCTCAGAATTGTCCTTTTTACTACTTTGTAAATCATGTTGAACAGGGCAGAATAATGTGACAAGAGTCTGTAGCCCTATAAAAATAATGAAATGTTTGCTGAAGCTCTTTAAAATTTATTGGAGTTTTATTGTTTGCCAGGAAAAGATTTGCAGGTTCTTGTCTTATTATAATTGTCGACTGAGTTGATCTTACATACAACAATACTTTGCTTACTGTTCACCTTTTGTTAATAATAAAACCAGTTATAACAACAATTAGCTGAATATTACTATAACAGCTGGTAGACGCACGCACAGTTTAGTCAGTAGGCTGTGCCAAAAAGCTTAGGGTCTAAAAAAAACCTTCCCATGTATTGTTTAAAAATAATCAACATTAATCCTGATGACTATAAAACAGCCCGGGAGAGATACTGAAAGCTCTGTCACTATAAATATATTAGCCTAAACTAGAGATAGTGTAAGCAGCGGACCTTGTCTGTAACTTCAGCAGTCAGGCAATTGTACTCGCTGAGCATTGAGCTGTACACGATGGAGGGAATCACCATTAGACACTGGATAGAAACCCCAGTGAGGTACCAGGAGATATTTGATGGGAAGAACCTTGAAGATTTCACACTGGATCATTTTCTTTATGCTTTGCCTGGACCTCAGTGCCCTGAATATCCAGAGAAGGAAAGGAAAGTAGGAGCCGAAGATTCTGAACCCTTGGAGATCCTGCTGGATGTGGTCCAGTTTCAGCCAGAAGACATCATCATTCAGATATTTGAAGGATGGCTCATAGTCAAGGCTGAACACGGGAGAAGAATGGATGAACATGGATTTATTTCAAGGAGCTTCATGAGAACATATAAACTACCGAATGGCATTGAGTTAAAAGACTTATCTGCTGTCTTCTGCCATGATGGAGTTTTGGCTATTCGGATATGACTGAGGTTTGTTCGAGCAACTCACATCAAGAATGATCGTTGTGTTAAACTTGTGGTTTTTTGGTTGTTATACTAACCTATGATTAATTTGTACTAAGTTTCAAGTAAAGTCTAGATAACACACATATTAATAATGAAGGTATAGTGTGCTCATTGGAAGAATTCTTCAAGGCTCAGAGAGATGTTTAACAAACTGCAGTACTCAAATTGTCAAAAGCTCAAAAAAAGGCACAGTCCACACAAAACTGATAATTTGGTCAAAAGTTCAATCTGGTGGGTTCAGTCATCTGCTGACTTTTTAGGTTAATCAAGGTCTCCTGGGAATAGTTGTCGTCTCATTTCATGGCCACCTTACAGCCTCACTTCTCCTAGGGCCATGTCACCCTAGAGGTCCTTTTGCTGGCACCAAATCTCAATGTAATTGGATCTCTAAACAGAGCAGAGTAAAAACGTAACTAATTCCACACATTGCTCCCTTACTGTCCAGATGAACAAGTTGTCGCTCCATCACTGACAGAAACACTGCCAAATGTCACTCTCTAGCGAGCAACAACTCACTCATACTCCCATTAAGGGAGTGACACGTGGGAATGGCAAATTAAAGTGACACTAAACTCAGGAATTAAACCGTAAAAATGCATTAAAGTACCTTAACTATTAACAAACATGTATATTATTTGTAGATCCTCAAATCATCTCTGAATTGGTGCTGGTACTGTCCTTCCTTCCTTCTGGAGGGTGGCTACTTTTGTTCCCCATGGTCCCTGTGTGTGTTGTAAAGTAGCCACCGCTCCAAGCTCCCTACTGTGATGGACTACAATCTCAATGCAAATTGGTAAACTGAAAGTGAGATTGTAGTCCATCACAGGAGCGAGCTTGGAGTGGTGACTAGTTTACAACACACACACAGGGACCATGGGGAACAAAAGTAGTTACCCACCAGAAGAAAGGACAGTGTCAGCATGAATTCAGAGATGATTTGAGGATCTACAGCCGAGTGATGCACAAATAAGATACATTTTTATAAATAGTTAAGGTACTTGAATGCATGTAACTATTAACCCCTGAGTTTAGTGTCACTTTAAGGTTAGGAAAAAGAATCACTAGAGTTTTACTCATGTGACGTGATAGGAATAAAACCATAACTATCGGTCATCTTCAGTTGACCACTGGTGACTTTTCTTAATTCTCCTGTGATTTTGCACGCCACCATCTGTTGCTGTCACTACAAGCACCATTCTGTTACATTGGGCACAACGCTGTATGGAGTGCAGTCCAGAACTGTATTCTTAGGCATGACATGGCCCATACAACAGAGGTGCCCCAACTACTGTCCATCATAATTCATAAAGAGGATGGGGCCCTCACCTAACTGTAGTGGTGTCTGTACATAGCTGATAGTTCAAACTCAGGAATCTCACCAATAATGCTGTGTCTCTGAAAACTGTAGCAGCCTCTAATAACCATTATTTGGGATTCACTCTATTGAAGTCAGATCACTGAACAATGTTAAATGCTATCAGTTACTGTACTTTGTGCTTAGATTTTAGAGGGATAATCTCTACCACAATGTCACTACTGAAGATGTACCTGTTTGCAATGACTGCTTAGTGTTTCTACATTTCCAGTTTAGGCATAAAACAAAGCACCTGTCTTCCAGCTGAAAAAGAAGGACCGATAGAGGGTAAAAACTACAGGAGAAGTAAATCACTTGTGGAATTTCAGAAAGCAATACAGAAACAAAACTTGGACGCTTGCTTGTATTACCAAAAAACAAAACTATTCGGACTCCGATTGTTTTATTAGCGATTTATCCCTTGCTGAGACCTCTATGCCTAGTCTGTATAAGCAGATATAATCACTGCGGACAATCTTTATCAGATAGCTGAACTCACCAAATACCTTTTCATCCACAAAATGCTTTATTGCAGACAACAGGATACAGCAGATGAATGAATAAATGGTATTTGAAAGTCAAGGATGATCATGTTTCCAAGCTAGCATGTACATGTGGTCCTGCTATAGGCAGCCATGACACACGACTAGTTGGAGAAGAAGGGCGGTACATTACACACACAAGGGGAGGGAATGCAGGAAAACATGGTGCAACAACCAGAATGCCCACAAGATGGCAGTATAACAACCAGCTATAATACATGGCTTAAGAAAAATTAACTGTGATTGTCATTTCACATTAATATGAATATTAACTGTGGCTATGCAGTGTGTCATATTTTTACACAAAAACAAAAAGATTATATGGCTACACTGTCAACGCGGTAATTGGAAACCTCCCTCTCTTATAATTTCCATTCATAAACTGGCTTCTGATGACTCTCCTCTTGCTGGTCCTGCACATCAAACACAGGTATGAAGACCTGACCAAAGCCTTACTTCTTCTGAGCGACATCATCTGGTCAGAAGCCACCTGGATTTCCTGCAAGCACAATAGTTCCGTCACAGTTCATCTTCACATAGTCAGAAAGGCTTATTCAGTAAGACAAAGAACAATATGAAAAGAGCAGAAACCCAAAACAACCAATGAGAGTTTATTTTTTAACTCAGGTGTCTACAGTTAACGAAAATCCAGTAGAATGCAGCATGATCATAATTATTCCTTTTTTGCTGCTTTACTGAAAAATCCTGAATGAGATTGTAAAGCAGTAATGACATATATGACCCTTTGTTGCAGTGCGTGTAAATTAAAATACATTTATCATAAAATAAATGTCAAAAGTCAGTTTTTTGTAAACTTATGAATTTAATTCACACAATGCAAGCAGTATTTTCATCAGTGCATTGCTTTTGTCACCCAATTTGCTGCAAGCATGTTATATTTAGCTTATGCTGGTTATTTATTCGATTTTGATAGCAGCATCAGGATGGTTTTATCTGTGAGTTTCAATATGAATTATCAAACAACAAATGCTGCTCATCTAGGGAACTGAGACTAATTAGAATTATTTATAAATGTGTCTGAAAGTGCAGCTGAAGCCAAAACTTTTTTTAGTTTTGTATAGAGTGTAGAGGGATTAGAATACCTGTTTTTCTTGCTGTCTGTGTCCCATTAGGGAGATTCACCCTCTTTGTCCTGGTGACCATTATCACTGATTCGGGATGCCATCAGAACCCTGATGACAAGATGGGAAATCTTACAGTGGGGACACTTGTGCTGGTGACCCTGCTGACCACCAGGGATTTACTTTATTTTGGAAGGATTTCTTCTCACTTCCTGTTGTGGCTATCGGAGAGGAAGTAAAGGGAAATCTCCCCCAGCATATTTTTGTCTATAGATTGCAATGCAGATTTACCTTCATTCTTCAACTCTTATTGTCAGTGCAGGTTTTTACCCCTTTGTAATGATGGTTCTTCTACTGCTGCTACAATGGAAAGGGTAGTAGTAAGGCTGTGGGTTGAATGCACTGCAGTAAAAAAAACATAAAAGAGGAGATTTTTCCTGGATTGGGGCCCATTTAAAATGAATGAGCTGTAGTGACACAGCACGCCTCAATGCACAAGTGCCTGGTAGCACATGTGTTAACCCAGTGCAATATGATGTGAATGAGCCCTTATCAAAGTGAATGTAAATAAGGTGAAGTTGCGTTTACTTTAAATACTCAATCATGTGCCAGCAAAAACACAGGTTTTTTTTTTTAAGTTCCCTTGCACATGATTGGATATTGAAAGTAAAGACAGGTTCACCTTATTGGCTAATATTCACTTTGCAAAGTGAACATTCAAAAGTGAATGTTAACCATCCTCTACTCCTTAAGTCAATCAACTCCCCTATTTCTTGAACTTTGCCTCAGGCTCTTGGGGGGGCCCAAGCAAGATGCCGGCCGCCGGATCAGTATCCAGCGTGGGGGGGGGGGGGGCCCAAAAAAAAATCGTGCACCAGGGCCCTTTGTTCCTTAGCTCCGCCACTGGTTTTGGGTCACCGGAGAACATTAGTATATGTCCTTCTGTGACCCAAAAGAGTACTATGGGCAAAAAAGGTTAGTCCATAGTTCTCCCTTAAAGGGGGTCATTGGGGGCACAGATGATGTGCATGGTCACATGTCCTAGTCACATGTGCCAGAAATCCAGGTAATAGGAGATCTAGTACCCTGCCCTTAGTAAACTTGGCCACTGTCAGAAGACTGGGGAAGAAAAGAGACATAAGGTATGCAAACAATATAAAGCCTGCAATTATCTAGAAGTATGTGTTTGTAGATTGTCATTACTAAACATTTCAAGGTGTGTTTGTTGTTATTTTGAAGATATGAGTAAAGGTCTGCTTTAATCTAAACCAGGATAAAGCTGCGCAAACTGTTGGCATTATATTATTATTATTACATAGTATTTATATAGCGCCAACAGTTTGTGCTTTACAATACAATTCAAGACAGGATGGTAAGGAGGGCCCTGCCCCTGAGGGCTTACAATCTATGAAAGATAATTGTATAAATGGGTTTTTAAAATATGTTAGGTGATAGTATAGTGATTAATACAGTATGTGTGGAGCAAAAAGAGCTTGCTCTAATTCCTAGCATTACAATATTTTCCATAAAAATGCACTAGGTGTCACTCTACATTAACTAGATTTTATACATATCCTGGTCACTATAGTTTCGTGTATACAGTACATTCATGTCAAACTTGCAGGCTTTCACAAAGGATTTTTTACCGTAATACAAAAATGCTGTGAAATAAAAAAAAAACCAAAGTTACTTACCAGTAATAGTATTTCCAAGAATCTTCCAGGACAGCTACCTAAGAGATGATAGTGACCAGAAAACCAACTCAATCCCTTAGAGACCATGGGTGGGAAGAGTGCTGGGACAAGGGCCTTTAGCACCCAAGGCCAGAATGTGAATCCACCATGAGCTGTGTGTGAACTACCTCTTCAGCATACGCTGGAAGTCCTTCCCCTTTGTGCACCCCCCTCCAAGGCAGCTGCCTCTGTTGCCTACACCTCAGCATGTCCCTGGATGGAAATATAGACACTGCATGGGAAAGTTC